GGTGCTCAGGGAAAGACAGCTCTGAGAATAATTTCACAAGTACATAACTGACCTTTGGTCCCCTTCTGCTTCCAATGTTGATGTCCTTCTCCCCAGTTCAGATTTCCACCTCATGCACCTATGGTCTGAGTACTGCCATTCAGTCCACAGGATCCCTCAAATCAACTTGGCCAGGCTGACCTTTCACACACACCCTTCATTCTTTTATTCATCCCAAATATCTTTAAGCAATCATTATGGGTAAGGCATTTTGTCAGACACATGAATCTTATTTCATAGTAATCTACTTTCAAGTAATTGCCTCTTTCAGCAAGAGCAAATAATTAAGGTATTATCTGTCTCAGTTATTGCTTCTTAACTTTGTACTGATCCTTAAGACAGTGAAAGAAATCTGTGCTTTTCTATAATAACACAGCAGAATCCGAAAGAGTCTTGTTTGGGCGGGCCTTCTGAGAGCCATAAAGTCATGATCATACCCAACATCCTGCTTCATGTCTTTGTAGGAGAGATTCATCAAATGGGCAGGTGTGCCATGGATATGAAGTGTCTGTATTGGAAACATGGTGAGACAGGTGCTTGTCTAAGACACTTCTGAAATCCTCCTTTTACCTCTTTCCCCTGTCTGTCTTCCCCTTCAGTCTTATCCTGTTAACTAAAATGAACATGATGTGCCCATGTTCTAAATCTGGCATCAGTCTTTTGTACATCCCAATGAAATTAAACCTTTACCTTCCTTTCTGAAGAGTGACTGGAGGCTCAACTTGGGTTTATGCTTAGCTGATTTGTGGTCACTAAAGAAACCTCAAACATCAGTTTGAGGTGTTGCTTAGGAACTATGGGGGAGAGGCTCCTTTCTTTGTAATATCTCAAATCACAGGAGAGATGCAGCTGCTTTTTTCATCCACACAAAATGTGACTGTAAGACAGGACTGAAAACAACTCACCAGAAATGCTACAGTGTTCTCAACACAAGAACTTGAAACCCCTGCAGACACTGTAGACAGGTCCCACTTAGGAGTAAATGAGGAAAAGCAGGAGAAATTTTAAAGATAACTGTACCCACAAATACTTTGAAATAACCAAATCTTTGGAGAGAATGATTTCAGTTTATCCTTTTACTTAATTTATAGTTTGGGGTGAAATGCTTGTTTACAATGATATTGGCAATCTCATCCATGCAGGATTATCAAAAGGAGTTTTTCCATCCCTGGATATAAGTTAAAGTTCTGCAGGCACACAAAGGTGAACATTGCCGTTTGTCCAGGCTCACAGGTAACTTTGACTGTCTGAAATGGATTTAATCTCAGGCATATGGGTTTGTTAACAGGTTTCGAATTTAAATTTCCATCAATGAGCTAATAAGATGTCATAGATTGCTGGCAAAGCTAGAGGGGTCAGAAACAAGGTTGTCTGAATCAGCAGGATTTAAAAGTTTTGTGAATTCAGAAGGCTACCAAGATATCAGAGTGTAGACTGCCAGACAAAAGCAGAATGCTGTCATATTAGTGTTAAAACATCCAAGCCAAGCAGGAGTCTTCATATAAAACAATAACTTAGTACATTGTTGTTGTTAGTTGCCATCAAGTCAGCTCCAACATGTACAACGTAACAGTGCATTACCTAGTCCTGTGCCTTCTTCACAATTATTGGAATGTTCAAGTCCATTGTTGTAGCCACTATCTAGTTTTGTTGTTGTTGTTAAGTGCCATCGAGTCGATTCCAACCCATAGCAACCCTGTATAGGATTTCCAAGGAGCGGCTGGTGAGCTTGAACCACCGACCTTGCAGTTAAAGCGACTTCACTGTCTGATGCATTAGCCCACAGCGCCACACCAGGACTCTTAGTACCTCCCAAACTAGGTGCTCATCTTCTAGCACTATATCAGACAATATTCTGTTGTGATTTGTAAGATTTTCATTGACTAACTTTCAAAAATACATCACCAGGCCTTTCTTCCTAGTCTGTCTTAGTCTGAAAGCCCCACATAAACCTGCCCACCATGGGTGACCCTGCTGGTATTTGAAATACTGGCAGCATAGCTTCCAGCATCGTAGAAACATGCAAACCAACACAGTACAAGAAACTGCAGATGGATGGCAGGCTTACTACAGAGTTCCATATACTAGGGTTCAAAATGATTCCAAATATACTCACGACTAACATCACCAGCAGCCACTCCATGGGAGAAAGATGGCTGCTTCTATAACGATTTATAGCCGGACACCATGTGTTGGAATCTACTTGACCATAACAGGTTTGATTTGGTTGTTTGGTACTAACATAACTGAAGCCCTGATAGCACAGCAGCCCAATAACTAACAGACAGGTTGGTGGTTTAAATCCACCTAGTATCTCCACAGCAGGAGCTCTGGTAGCGTAGTGGTTACAAATCGGGCTGCGAACCTTAAGGTCAGCGGTTCAAAACTACCAGCCGCTCCGCGGGAGAAAGATGAGGCTTTCTACTCCCGTAAAGATTTACACCCTCGCAAACCCTGTACAGGGTCGCTATGGGTCGGACCCGACTCAAAAGCACTTAACAACAACAAGTATCTCCACAGGAGAAAGACCTGACAATCTCTTCCCATTCAGATGATAACCTAGAAAACCTTATGGGTGCAGTTCTACCCTGCCATATGAGATCACTCAGAAACAAAATCTACTCAAAGGCACATAACAACAACTAATACAAGCTGTCTACCATCCTGCTCCTCTTGAACATACATACACCTGATACCTAGGCCATGAGAATACAAGAAAAAGTTAAACAACAACAAAAAAACTATATATTTTTTCACACTGATCATCATGGAACAATAAAGCTGTAAGGCATCCATAAACAAATGCAGAGTCCTGGTGTGACACTATAGGAACAGCACTGGACTTCAAACCAGAAGATCAGCAGTTCAAAACAACCAGCTGCTCCTCGGCTACCCTGTACAAGGTTGCTATGAGTCTGACTGAGTCAGCGGCTCTAAACAGCAGCACACAAATGCAGCTTCTTGATGTGATAGCAAAAGTGCTGTGGCTGCTACAAAAATGATATCACATAAGAGATTTTTGCAGTAACATGAGATAACATGATCTATGAAGATAATGACATCCTTGCAATTCAGCAGCAGAGTCCTGGTGTGGCACTGGGGGGTAATGTACTGAACTGCTGCAAGGTCAGAGGTTCAAGCTCGCCTGTCACTCCTCGGAAACCCTATACAGGGTCGCTATGAATCAGAACTTTCTCGACAGCACTTAACAACAACAAGTTGGTGAGTAGGCAGCAAGATAACTTTAATGAACAACAATATCAGCAATACTTCTGCTGGGCATCTGTATACTATTGGGTGCATTCTTGCTATTAAGGAGCTCTGGTAGTGTAGTGGTTACGAATTAGGCTACGGACCTCAAGGTCAGCAGTTTGAAACTACCAGTTGTTCCACGGGAGAAAGATGAGGCTTTCTGCTCCCATAAAGATTTACAACCTCGGAAACCCCGCACAGGGTCGCTATGAATCAGAACCGACTCTACAGCACTTAACAACAACATTGCTATTAAGTGCTTTTAGAGGCATTGAAGTAAAAGGTGGAAATTGTGCTTGGAGTCGTCAGGTCTCTTGTCTGAGGTATACATAAGATGCCATATGGAGGCTTCCAGAGGAATATGAGAGGAATTTGAGGGAAAGTGAAGATAACACAAAATGTGTGGGAAATAGACAGAGAAGGCTAATTTGTGATTGTTATTGTTGTTTAAAATCCTATTAAATGTGGTCTATGTTCTCAAAGAGCTCACTGTCTGAAGAGGAAAACTGAGATCCATATTTAATATTAAGTCTTCAAAGAAGCCAACTTCAGACAAGACAACTGAGAGCCAGGGGCCCAGTGATATGAACAGAGAGCTGTGGGTTTCGAGGAGGAAGCAATCAGGACAGGCCATTGATTTGAGCTGAGGCTGGGAAGTCCATGAGAGTTTGTATCAGCAGAACAAAGAAGGGAAATATTTGAAGTGGGGGACACAAGAGCAAAGACACAGAAACAAATAGACCAGCTAGTATCAGAAGTGACCCAAATGGTTGACCGGTAAGTTAAGGGTAGATGTCAAGGTGGGAAACATGGTCTTTATTCCTGCGGATCAAACCTAGACTGCAGGCTGATAATTAAGGGAAAATGGGATTTTTTTTTTTTTTTCTTCTACTTGTCAACATGACATCACAAAATCTCCTTAAATATCAGATTTCTCCTGGGTAAAATAGATATACGATTCCATGGCCTAACAATAGGAATCACCTGGCAATTCTCACAGACTTGAGAACCAGTTGAGATAGTAATTGAGATAAAAATCTATTCAAATTAAACATGCCATTTATGAAGTAAGGAGCCAGACAATATTATGACCCTTTCTTCCATAAAAATATTTAAACTTATATTTATGATTGCATTGAAATAAAAAAGAAAATCTCGGGTGGATTGTATTCATTTATCTCTTCTGACGTTATAGAAGTTGAAAATAATTTCAGAGACCCTAAATTAATTGCGAACACTAGGAACTATGCCTACTGTGCCTAATGAGTAAGTCAGCCCTGATAAGGAGCCCTCGGATGATTTTGAACAACAAGCAAATAAAAATAAGGAGAAGAGAGGTTTAGAAAACCACTGCAGATATGTGCTAGGATTTTTAAGGATTTCGGAACTATAAAAAATACCAGTAGATGACAAATGCTATGAAAGTGTAAGTGATACAGGAATATTCATTCTTCCAGTAAATCCCATGGAAAGGAATTATGGTATCTAAATTCTATAAAGACTACACACAAAGATCATCAACTGACACAACAGGGCAAGTGTTCTTACTGAGATACCAGTCTAATGGGGCAGCCTTGAGACATCTGAGCAGAGTTCACACAGAGCAAGAAAGGATGTATGAGAAGATTGGTGATGCCCAGAAGTAGATGAAACAAGCAGTGGAGATCTCACCCTTCATCCTATTTTACTCCAAAGAAATATCCTCTATCATGGCCTTGAGGAACCACAGCACCATCACTGAGTTTATTCTCACTGGGCTGTCTGCTGACCCCCACATTGAGGTTCTGCTATTTGTGGTCTTCCTGGTGATTTATCTTCTGACGATACTGGGGAACTTGATGATGCTGGTGGTAATCAGGAATGATTCCCGCCTCCACACGCCCATGTATTTCTTCCTGAGTAATCTGGCATTCCTTGACCTCTGTTTCTCTACTGTCACCGTGCCCAAGCTGCTGGAGGACCTCCTGTCTGAGAAGAAAACCATCTCAGTAGATGACTGCCTGGCTCAGGTTTTCTTTGTGTTTATCACCGCAGGGACTGAAGCTTTTCTGCTCTCAATGATGGCCTATGACCGCTATGCTGCCATCTGCCACCCGCTGCTCTATAGCCAGGTGATGAGCAACCAGCTCTGTGTGAGGCTAGTGTTAACCTCATGGGGCTTGGCCTCTCTGAATTCAATTGTTATTATGCTTTTGGCTATTAATCTGGACTTCTGTGAGGCCCAAACTATACACCACTACATCTGTGAACTGCCCTCTCTCTTCCCTCTGTCTTGCTCTGATATTTCCATCCACATTGACATCTTGATATGCTCTACTTTACTACATGTGCTTGGAACCTCCCTCCCAATCTTCATCTCCTATGCCCGCATTATCTCTACCATCCTGAGCATCAGCTCCACCACAGGCAGAAACAAGGCCTTCAACACCTGCTCTTCCCATCTCATTGCAGTGATCCTGTTCTTTGGCTCAGGTTTGTTTCGATATCTCATGCCCACCTCTGGCTCCTCCCTTGATTTGCTTGCCTCCCTACAGTACAGTGTAGTCACTCCCATGCTGAATCCCCTCATCTATAGCCTAAAAAACAAGGATGTGAAGATAGCTATGAAAAGAATGCTGGAGAAGAGTCTGTAACATTGTAGGTGGTGGTGGTTGTGTGCTGTAGAGTTGGTTCTGACCCATAGCAACCCTGTATAGGGTTTCCAAGGCTGTAAATCTTTATGGGGACAGAAAGCCTCATCTTTCTCCTTCAGAATGGCTGGTAGTTTTGAACTGCTGACCTTGAAGTTAGAAGCCCAACTTGTAACCACTACGCTACCAGAGCTCCTTAATATTGTAGGTAGTGAACAAAAACAGAATAATTGAAGATGAGTTCATGTTGCCAAGTGCTTGAACTTAAGATAGAATTCTGGACCATAACTTGAAGGGGACCCAGTACCAGCCTTTCCCTGCATATATTGGCCATGAAAGATAAAATACATGAAATAATATTTCATTTTATACATATATGTTTTATTAGTTCTGCCCTCTCCCACCATCCTCTTTCTAGGATTCAGATGTTGATCTCCTGAAATGATCATTCATATATTGTAACTTTCATTCTTTTTTTTTTTTTTATTGACCTGCTTTGTTATAGATTACACTCAATTTCTTGCCTCCCATAGTATTTTGACTACTTTTATTTCTTCTACATTGTTGTTGCTATGTGCCTTCAAGTCAATTATGACCCATAGCAACACTGTATAGGGTTTCCATGGAGCAGCTGGTGAGCTTGAACCACCGACCTTACAATTCAAACGACTTTGCAGTCTGACACATTAGCCCACAGCACCACACCTTACTACTACCTTTATCATTGCTAACAATAGTCTTAAGCCTGTATTTATGAATTTTAGCTTTACAAACAAAATAATATCTATTGATACCTCTTATGAAAAATGACAAATTTATCTTCCTTGAACAACCTCCCTTCTCCTTTTACCATTTCAAAAACAAAAAAGTGTCCTTGTTTGTTACCTTCTGGGATTTTTGTTCCTGGATATTGTCAACAAATTATTACTACAATTGTTGTATTATGCAACTTTTAGGCCAATGACATTCTGGCTATTAAGCATGATTTATATAGTAGGTGACGTCGTTATATGTTTCCGCTGACTCCGTACTCACTGGCATCCCTCTCACAGCACATTTCCCCATCTTTACTTCCCCTTTACACAATAAGTGCAATGCTTAGATGCCTGGTCTCAAGAGCCTATGTTTGCCTGTGTTCAAACCTTGGCTTTACCTATATAAGCTTCTTATAATTTTGCTAAGTTATTTAACATCTCTGTGTCTCCATTTTCAAAATATACAGTTGGTATAATAATATTACTTACATCATTGAGTTATTGTGAGGATTAAATGAGATGGTATGTGTCCACACTTAGAACACTAATAGGCACCATTTCATGAGTTCTGTATTCTGTTCTCTTTTTGTTTTGTTGGATTATGTACTTACCTGTATTCTTTTTAGAAATGGACATTATGACATACTCCAACTCCTGGCATATATGAGAATTTCTCTATTTTGACTGTAATATGAATGAAAACTTTACTAGGTATAGAAATTTGGGGCCCCATCTATTTTTTTCTGTATGTATTGTAAACTGTCATCTGGTATCTAGCATTCTTCAGGAGAAGTATAAAGACAACATGGCATTTTTGCTGCAAGCAAAGAAAAAACAAAATAGTGCTTAAGAAGTGTGAAGACATTTAGAAAATAAGTCTTAAAATAGTATCACAAAAATTACAGTAAGTATATGTAACAATAATGGAAATATTATAAAATCATTACTAAAAGGAAAATACTGTTTGTGTCAAAAGAAAAAGAAAACACAACTATGCATTCCAGGTGCCTCATAAAGACTAAAATTGTTGTTTTATTATTGTACAAAGATACAAACTAGAAAAGTGTTGTTGTTGCTGTTAGGTGCTGCTGAATTGGTTCTGATTCATAGCAATCGCTTGTACAACAGAGTGAAATATTGTCCTGCCCTATCCCATCTCAAGGAGCTCTGGTAGCGTAGTGGTTACAAATCAGGCTGTGAACCTTAAGGTCAGCAGTTTGAAACTACCAGCTGCTCCGCGGGAGAAAGATGAGGCTTTCTGCTCCAGTAAAGATTTACAGCCTCGAAACCCTGTACAGGGTCGTTGTGGGTCGGAACTGACTCCACGGCACATAACCACCACCACGACCCCATCTTCACAACCATTGTTATGCTTGAGTCCATTATTGCACCTCATTGAAGCTGTTCTTCTTTTTCACTGACCCTCTACTTTACCAAGGATGATGTCCTTCTCAAAGGACCAGTCCATCCCGATAACATGTTCAAATACTTGAAATGAAGTGTCCCTCTTTTTCACTATCTCTCCATTTTATAATGAAAGTGCCCTGTAAACTGTAAAGGGTTGAACAAACACACCAGTTACTGTTGAGTGTATCCCCTGTGAGTCAGAGTAGAACTGTGTTCCATGGGGTTGAATTTTCAGAAGTAGATCTCCAGACTTTCCTTTTAGAACCTCCAGTTTTTTTTTTATCAGTAATTGAGTGTGTTAGCACACCAACCCATCCACCCAGGGACTCTCCAAACTTACTACCACCTGAAGTGCTCTCTTATTTGTCCCAACCCATAGTGACTCTATGGACAACAGAATGAAACACTGCCTAGTCCTATGTCATCTGCACAATTGTTATTACACTTGAGCTCATGGCTGCTGCCACTGTGCCAATTCATCTCATTAAGGGTCTTCCTCTTTTTTGCTTTACTAAGCATAATGTTCTTCTCCAGGGACTGGTTCCCCCTTGATAATATGCCCTAAGTATGAGAGACAAAGTTTGGCCAGCATGGCTTCTAAGGTGTATTCTGGCTGTACTTCTTCCAACACAGATGTTTGTTCTTCTGGCAGTCCATGATATTTTCGATATCTTCCACACCATAACTCAAATGCATCAACTTTTCTACGGTCTTCCTTATTCACTGTCCAACTTTCACATGCATATGAGGCAACTGAAAATACCATGGCTTGGATCAGGCACACCTTACCCCTCAAACTGATATATTTACTCTTGAACTCTTTAAAGGGGTCTTGTACAGCAGATTTGCCTAATGTAATATGTCATTTTATTTCTTGATTGCTATTTCTACAAATGTTGATTGTAGATGCAAGCTAAATGAAGTCTTTGAAAAAAACCAATCTTTTCTCTATTTACCATGATGTTATTCATTTGTTCAGTTGTGAGGATTTTTGTATCTTTTATATTACGGTGCAATCCATACTGAAGATTGCAGCCTTTGATAATCACCAGTATTTCAAGTGCTCTTAGCTTCCACAAAGAAAGGTTATATCATCTACGTATCACATGTTAAAAATCGTCCTCCAATCCTGATGCCACATTCTTCTTCATGTAATCCAGATACCTGCATTATTTGATAAGTATATGGATTAAATAAATATGCTGAAAGAATAAAATCCTGGTGGTCACCGTTCATGATTCTAAACCATTCAGTATCCCCTTGTTCTGTTCAAAACACTGCCTGTTAGTCTATGTACCGGTTCCTCATGAACACAATTAAGTGTTCTGGAAAACCCATTCTTTCCAATGTTACCTAGCCACAGCTTGTTATGATCCATACAGTCAAAAACCTTTGCATAATCAGTAAATCACAATCAAGTAAATACTTTTCTGGTATTCTCTGCTTTCAGCCAAGGTTAGTCTGACATCAGCAATAATATTCCTAGTTCCACAGCCTTTTCTGAACCCAAGTTCAGTTTCTGACACTTCCCTGTCAATGTACTATTGCAGCCATCTTTCAATTATCTTCAGTAAATTTTACTTGCTTGTGATATTAATATTATTGTGTGAAGATTTTTGCATTTTGTTGGGTCACCTCTCTTTGGAATGGGCACTCCAATAGGTTGGTCTTCCAAATGTCTCAGCATAGATGATTGAGTGCCTTTGGTGTTCCATCAGTTTGTTGAAAGATTTTTATTTGCATTCAGTCAATACCTGGAGCCTTGTTTTTTGTTACTGCCTTCAGTTCAGCTTGGACTACTTCCTTCAGTACCACTGGTTCTTCATATGCTACCTCTTGAAATGGTTGAGTATCTATGAATTCTTTTTGGTACAGTGATTCTGTACATACCTTCCATCTTCTTTTGATGCTTCCTGCGTTATTCTTTTTCCATGTTGTTAGGTGTTGTTGAGTAGATACCAAACCATAGCGACCCCATGTACAAGAGAATGAAACACTGCCCAGTCCTCAGTCATTCTTGCAATTGCTGTTACACTTGAGCCCATTGTGGCTGCCACTGTGCCAACCCACTTCATTGGGGGTCTCTCTCTTCTTTACTGGTCCTCCATTTTACAAAGCATAATGTCCTTCTCCAAGGACTGGTCCCTCCAGATAATATGTATGATGTATATGGGTCGGAACCGACTCGACGGCACTTAACAACAACAACAACAACAACATACAAGATGAAATTTGGCCATCTTGGATTCTAAGGAACATTGTGTTTGTACTTCTTACAACACAGATTTGTTTGTTCTTCTGGGAGTCCATGGTACCTTGAATATTCTTCTCTGACAGTGTAACTCAAATGCATCAATTCTTCTACAGTCTTCTTTCTGTGGTCCAACTTTCAATGCATATGAGGCTACTGAAAATGCCATGGCTTGGGTCAGGTGCACTTTAGTTCTCAAATTGACATCTTTGTTCTTGAACACTTCAAAGAGATTTGCCTAATGCCGTAGGTCTTTTGATTTCTTGACTGCTGCTTCCATGACTGTTGATGGTAGATCCAAGCAGAATGAGGTCTTTGACAACTTCAATCTTTTTTCCATTTACCATGATTCTATTTATTTATTTATTTGTTTGTTTGTTTATTTATTTATTAGTAGAGTGGTGACAATTTTTGTTTTCTTTACCTTGAGGTGCAGCCCATACTGGACTATATTATTTAATCTTCACTAGTAGTTATTTTAAGTCCTCTTCCCTTTCAGGAAGCAAGATTGTGTCATCTGAATATCACAGGTTGTTAATGAGCCTTCCTCTAATTCTGATGCCACACGTTTCTACATATAATCCAGCTTC